GGAGGGCAGGCAGGAGGGCAGGCCGGAGGGCAGGCAGGAGGGCAGGCCGGAAGAATGCCACAGGTAGATTGCAGGCATGGGGGGTCCCTGAACGTCAGCACTCTAATTAAACAAGGGGGTGTGAAGCTAGAGTGACAGCAATGACAGTTCAATTCATTCAAAGCCAATGGCACCGATCCCCGCCCAGCTCTACACTTCACACTATAGGCCAAACTGGGGGTAGGTCTCTATAGTGTGTTTTTAGTCTAGACTTAAATACTGAGCATATTACTTGCCTGAAAATGTAGCATAATGCTATTTAAAGGTACTGTATATACTACATACATCCATTATATATTGGTGCTGGTTAAATATTTGATCACTTAGCTACTAGCAAACAACTTGAGCTACATCTGTTCCACGCTATAGTGACCTAATTCACCACATTAATTAGGCTCAGTATATGCTAAAATCAACCATATGTTTTTAAGATTTGATTTGGAATGAAATCTGTTTGGACATAACTAAGTACTGTCAGAGATGTAATGAGTTAATATAAACTGTAGACCCATAACTCAATCAGATCAGCTAATATTTTCTGCACAAGCTCCTCCTTTAAAGCTTATAGCTGGGTTTGGCATATAAAGATCTTTCTGAGGAAAGCAGTCAAAAGAAATGCTTAGGTGCATGTTTTCTCTGAAAATGGAGACTGCATCCCTGTTCAATCCAGTGATCCATTTTTTGATTAGATGTTTTTAGATTAGATCTTCTCAGCATATCTCATGCCCCGCCCAGCCCAAATTGGTGGTATACTGTAGTCCTCAGCCTAACATTTTCACAATGCTCTCCACTATGCCCATGGAAACCACCTTCTGGACAGAATTCATATAAAGTTACAGCATGGGGATGCATAACAATGATCAGCAGAGAGCCCATAGCACAATTCAGAGTGTGGAATGTGACTTATGGAAATATATAAACATTAATAGCAACACTGAAACGAAATGTAGTTGTGAGTCGACACGACTAATGACTTTAAAGAGCCACACAAGTGTGTCAGTTTAAGGAGGACTATCTTGGGAAGGATGTGCTAACAAGGCCTCTCTCCTGGTAATAATACAAGGTGGCCATCATTCTGACCTCCGTGCCACATTCATAGATGCGCTTTGCTGTCTGAGCTCAGCCCAGCTCCACTTTCCATACGTTTCTGTGTCTGACTGATGCCTTCAAAGCCATTTGGAAGGCCTAAAGCACGAGGCACGGAGTCTGATGTCAGGCGATACCACAGGCAGACATGATGCCATCACATGTGAGTTCTTACATGTTCAGGCAGGGCTGGTTTTAGCTATAGGCAGAATTGGCAGTTGCATTACCCATGTTGTGGAGCAAGGAAAACGATTGTAAATGTTCCTGGTAGGGGGACCTTCCAAATAAGGCTTTGCCCAGGGCCCTCGAAACGGTAGAGCTGGCTTTGCTATTCTTTAGTGTTTGCTTATAATGTTTGACTCCACTATTCACCAGGGTGACACTAAGTATACAGTAGTGACCCCTTTACTAATATAAAAAGGCCATCCTGCAAACATAAAGCATTGTGAGTCAGTATCCTTTTGTCTACAGACCAGTGGTTCTCAAATGTTTTTACAGGGGAATCCAGGTGTACTCTGATTACATATGTATGTAGCTTGAGTTAAATCATTACTGTGACTTGGGAGCTCTGATTTCTTTATGTTAATCGCCTTTAGCCTCACCATTGTCTTCTTTGTCTTCTTTTCGTGGCTGCCACTATTATTAAATTATTTTGACTTCACGAAGGAGCTTTTGCTCATACATTGGTGGAGGGGAGGGGTGATGATTTTGAATGTTGCACACCGCCTATGTAATGTCATCTTTGCACACTTAGGGGCATAATGCACCTGAATTCTATCTGGGCAGGACCACCTTCCCTCTACAATGTCCTAAAGATGAAATGACATCACACTGAGGGTAAATTCCTGGGCCAACCTTCACATTGAAAAGGAGGCTGTCACTTAATATGCCTGCAGTTTCTAGGACATAGAGTTGCAGATGTAACACCTCACCCAGGTTGATAGATCTTATTAGGTTACTACTATTATTGACATAAAGTAACTTTAAACCCCGACCTAGCAGCCAAAAATGCATCCCACCACAAGGTCTGAGACATCCTGCATTCTAAACATGCCACCAGCATAAACATCCAAGTTGATTGGGCTGATGAACAGGTTAAGCAGAGCATGTTGCATTTTCGGTGCATTTTCTAGCCAAACACTGACATCAGGTGACCATGCCCTGTAAATGCAGCCAGAACACTGAGAAACTGGGACAAAATGCAGGGCAATCAGGCACCTGTGCTTCAGCAGCTGAACCACCAAGATCCTCCCAGCCAGAATATTAGTCTTTAAACCAGACGCAATTAGGATGGTACTTCTTTCCACCAAGATACATTAAAAAGATATTTAATAATCCAATTAAACCCAAGAGCAAGAACTGAATGGGCTTGCTGTCTTTGACCAAAGTGAAGTCCACGCCTCATATTAGCAGGATGGTTCACACTGAGATGTTCCACTTCGTGTTTTTTGTCACATGCCTCTCTTGGTGCCCTTAGCATCACATTCCTCATATATATGTCTGCCTCTGCAGATCACTGTGTCGTACTGGTCTGTCTCTGCAACATGCTTGTGTTTCCCATGCAGGGAAAGTATTGAAGTGCAAAGCGGCTTACAGCACAGCCTCTTCAGAAACCAGCGCCCCAACACAAGCCTCAGATAGCACATTGAGGTAATAAGCATGCTGTTATGATTAACATGCTATGGATCGTGCAGCATAGGAAAAACTGATTCAACACTCCGACCAGATTAAGCGTCTTCTGGGCGCATTTTGAAATAAACCCAGGGAGGATCCTCTATGTTTCAGCAACGACAACAAGCACCATTATTTTCAGCAAAGCACATAACATTATATACAAAGCATCTAGCTGATATTTTGTACAAACAGCTATTTTCAGAAGGTAATCTTGCTACCACAATCGCTGGCTCCACCATATGTTCTCCTAGAGGATATGCTGCCCGCTACAGTTATCAGAAGTACATTTAGGGGACGATGCTGGATTTGACCTTACAAAGAAAAGGTGAAGAAGTCTTTGGTCTCCGTGCCAAGGTAGCGTTCAGCTGGCTGGCACTGAGGGGACGGCACCATATGTGGCTTCTGGAAGACCCAGGGCCGGTGTTCAGAATGACATTGGAGGGTCCCTAGAATACCGCACATCTGCTGCCCTTTCTGGACTTCCTCCAAGGGAGCCTTGTTACCTTGTTCCCTCAGAGGAGAAAGCCCTGGAGGGGCCAGACCTCTCATGACCCTGTTGCACCATGTCTGTTTCCGCGCCGCGGCGCTGGTAATGCCAGTAGTTTCGAGCCCATCTGTGCTTTGTTACTGCTTTATTTCCCCTCGCTCTCTCTTCTAAAGCTCGCCAGAAAGGATTTATTTCTTAAGAAGAGGCAGGAACAGTTCAACCTTTAGGA